AATAATAACAGATCTTTTCAAACATATCAGGATGAGGAAGTTTGCCAGAATCTGCTAATTGAAAATCAGGATAAAACAGCAGCATTCAGAGTAGAAAATGTCACTGCAGAGAAGCTAAATGAGTTTTTTCCATTGATTCATGTCCACTCTGAAAGCAACTGGGGAGACCTCAATGCTACAGCCTTCCCTAGGGAAGACTTGTCAGAGGATCTGTCAAGCCAGTTTGTTTAAGGAACAAACTGACTAAATAAAGAGTAACATATCACCAGTACTGGATAATCACCCAACAGTTCTAAAAGAACTAATTAATTAAAATAACTTAATTACTAACAGGGATGTGCAATCTCCCAAAACTGCCTTGATGCTTAAGGACTGGAAGGGTAACAAACATGAAAAGGTTTCAAGTGAGATTCAAGTCTGGTGTCTGGACCAGATAAGTTAGAAGAGCCCACAAAAAAAGAACAAAAAAATTAGTCAACAGTCAGATAAATGCAATCAGCTTTAAGACTTCTAGGTTCTGACTTACACAATTTTGATCTCTTTGAAGGGATCAAGAAACATGGATAGAAACAGACCCATCTGATATCACCCATGAGGCTTTCCAGGACACTTTTAACAAAGCCACTCCACAAAATCCTAAGCAGTCATGCTGTAAGGGAGAATGTCTTGGTATAGATAAGAGGATGGAAAACAAAGTAAATTAGCAGTTCCTGCAATGGTGGAAGAAGACCAGTGGAATTCCACAGGGTTCTGTGCTGGGATCTGTTGTGTTCAACTTGTCACTAAACAGCATAGAAAAGTGGGTGGCAGCAGTGATATGGGAGAGTTTAGTGATTCCACTATGATACTCAAAGTAGCAAAGATCAAGGCTGACTGAAGAGCAGAAAAGGATTTGTAGTTAACTGACAATCAAATAGCAGATGAGTTTAAATGCAGATAAACATGAAATTACGTGTAGAAAAAAACCAGAGCAAACATACATTCATGTATAAAATTACACCCTTTGAACCAACCATAACCATCTGGAGAGCAATCTTGGGGTTAATGACAGCTTCCTCATGGGGGTTTCATGCTCACAGGAGGTCAAGAAAGCAAAGAAAATATTTGGAATAATTGGGAAATATATTTATGCATCTTAACTGCCATGTTCTGGTTTCCTCCTCTCAAAAAGACAGGAATCAGGATTGTAAAATGTTCTGAGAAAAGCAACATGGAAACATGATGGCATGGAATAGCCTCTGTATCAGAAAGAACTAAGTAAGCAAGGACTCTTCATGGAAAAGAGGTAACTCTGAGGGTATGATAAAGGTCTAGAAAGTCAAGGGAGGTGTGAAATGAACGACAGGCTTCAATATTCACTGCCTTTTCAATACACAAACCAGAAAGGATCAAATAAAGATAGTAAAGGCCAAATTCCAAACAAGCAAAAGGACTATTTGCTACAGCAACTTCTTGCCAATGGATCTTTTAACAAGTTAGAAGTTTCTGTGAGGTGGAGGTAGAATTTCATAGAAAAAAAAACAGCGGAGGTTTATTTCACGCACAGCTGGCCAAGGATGCTTCCAAACTGGAAAGAACTGGAGGTTTGGTAAGTATGCACAGGGAGTATCATACATGCCTGCTCTGTTTTTACTGTTCTCTAGACATCAGATTTTCATCATTGCTGAATATGAATAGTAGACTGGATGAACTGTTCATGTGATCCAATGTGATTATTATTTTGCTAAACAGGCCATTACTGCAGCCAGTGATGTCAGACTCTTAAACAAATGTTTCCTAATGCAAGAACTAGGATACACTAAAGTACAAAGGGACTTTTCTATACAAGAGGGACAAGATAGCTTCTATACAAATTTTAGTATCACACCCTGTGTTTGTGCACTTAGGATTGAAAACAGACTCCTAACTGATAACACATTACATGGAAGCTGGCTGGGCCCCAAAAGGCCACCTGAGCTCAGGCAGTGCCTGACTTACTGACAGAAGCTACTGCCCTACTTAGACAACATCCCTGTTCCAACAGCAAGGCCTCCCTGTGACTTAGGACACAAGCCACAGCCTGAGAAAGTCACCCTTTATACAGCTCATCTGAAAACCTTAGGGATGATAATGATGTGGGAAAGGGGAACAGCACTTTGCTAAAAGATTTCTCAAGATGGGCAAAAGTTTATAATGCTGACTACAAACAGAAACATGTAAAGCTCATCCTGTAAGATAGAGGCTCTACAGGAACACTTCTGACAGCTTGCACAGCATGTAACAGCCACCAAGCGTTCTTTGTTACTCTGCACAAGTAAGCTCCAAAACCAACCACGAGCACATACCTCAGATGCGTATAAAAGCAGATCCAGCTTTTCCAATCTTCTGTATTCCTTACCTAAGCCTATGGCACATGGAATCTAGCAAATCTTGCCAACTCAGCAGCCCCAAAAGTCTCTCATAGACTTAAATCACTACTCTTCCATTCCTTCTGACTTTTATCCAAGAGATAAAACAAGGTAAGAAGAACCGAGCTGCAACTGCAGTGTGGTGAGCAGGACAGAGACTATTTGGGTGGCAGCTGTGGCAATGAGTGTGTGATAGGGGTGCAAGTTGTTTAATCCTATTTCCAGTGCTCACATATTTCTTTTCATTATATTTAATACTTATTTTTAAAGTCACAGGTATGAAAGCACTTGAAAAAGTATGAAAGTTGGTTTTATTTTTCCCTAATAATGTTTCTAGCTGCCATGACTGCCAGTAAACAACCTGATCCCACAAACTTTGCACCTGAAAACACACACACACACCTTCCTTTCTTCACGTATCAGTTCTTAGTCCTGAGGATTTTTCATGCTTTGAGTGAATAATGATGATTTATGCTCCCACAGCAGACAATTTTACTCACACTGCTGTTACTTGATTTCTTTTCAACACATACCAACTCACGATACAATTCGCTAGCTGTCAGCATTTTAAAACAAAGATTAGCAGTGCCAACTCCACCTCAGGAAAAACACTTGCACTCCTCACAGCTCAAGTGTTTATTATATACTACAGAAAAAGTGGTGCATTGCATTATCTATGTCCCTCTTCTTGTTTCTGCAGGGCTTCACTGAGCTGACAACTGACAACTGCATGCTTGTTTCAAAACTGCAGCAAGAAATAACTATTCTGAAGACAGTGCATATATAACCATCACAGCATAAAAGTTAACTGGTTTTAATACTTTGATACACAAGCTATTACTTTACTAATTTGTATTTTGATTAAACAACTGACAATTTAACACAAAAAGCAATGCTGATCCAGTGAAGAAAGATGTATTTTAGGACCACTTAATAAAACAGACAAACAAGAAGCTAAATTCTGAACACTACCTAACAACAAACAATTTGAAGGTATATAAGAGCCTACAATTCATTATGACATTCATTATTATCTCAGGAGCCTAGAAAGGTTCCCCTTAAAACTACAGATTAAGACTGGGAGGAAGATGTTACTCAATTTAAGATGCTCATTCCCAGTTCCATAATTTGTTGAGTTCTTAATA